ATATTTTTAAAATTTGTTTTACCTAGTAGCTGGCCACTTGGAGTGCCTCTGGTGTTACTATAAGAAGGTCCTCCATTGTAGCAGGGCTCAGGTTGCATTGCAACAGGCGGTCTGTGGTTTGCTCTTCTCCGCACTCACATGTTGTGCATTCCACTTTGTAGCCCCATTTCCTAAGGTTGGCTCTGCATCTCGTAGTGCCAATGCGCAGTCTGTTCAGCGGCTTCCAAATCACCCAGTTTTACCCAATGAGCAACACTCTTAACAAAATTACAGGTATTACTGCACTTGCAATATATTTGTAGGGTTGTTCATGAGATGGTTAGGATCCCACTATACTGCTGAAGATCAACTTTCTTATCCTGCTAAAACTGTCAGATATTTTCCCCTGTTACAGAGAACATTGGCTAATTACTATTAAATGTTGATCCCTTGTAGCTCAGAAGTGCCTAAAGTAAGTGGGGGTACCCCTCTGGCAAAAAAAACATTTTTGTGATTTTTCTTCCTGATTTCTAAAATATGTGAGGTTCCATTGGGTGGAAAGAGGGTCAGCCAAAGATATTATGTTGCTTTTGGTTGTTTTCAATGCAAGATATTTGTAGTGTAGAATACTAGCCAAGATAAGATAGTAAACCCTAGGAGTGCCTCTACTCCTCCTTGGCAAAGAAAATGCAATAGTAATTGATTAAATTACATTCTGCTTCACTTTCATAAAATTCCAGATCTGCTTCCCAAGACAGGCACTTCACCCTGCCCAATGAAGTAATGGTTCAAACTCTAGCTGTGAAATAATATGTGCAACAAAATTGGATGATGACACAGCTAGGAATCAATGAAGGCTGTCTGAAAAGTTGGTCCTGCAGTCATGTGCCGTAGCAGCCAACTTTTTAGGCAGACTATGCTGATTCTTATATACATATCCTGAAGGTAATTTTATACATCATATTTCTAATTTTGTGCTTGATACAAAATCTATGTACATTAAATCATTAGAAAGCTATCTCAGGCTGAATCTACACTGCCATATAAAATCCAGGTTATCTGTTTTGAACTGGTTATATGGCAGTGTAGACTCATATAATCCAGTTCAAAGCAGATAATATGTATTATCTGATTTGATAATCTGTAGATTCGAGAGTGCGGATGAGCTCCTGTCAGCTCCAGCTCCCCATGCAGGGGCATGAGAGAAGCCTCCCAAAAGGATGGTAAAACATCAAAACATCCGAGCATCCCCTGGGCAATGTCCTTGCAGACAGCCAATTCTCTCACACCAGACGTGACTTGCAGTTTCTCAAGTCACTCCTGACATAGAAAAAATCTGGATTATATGGCAATGTAGATCCAGTCCCAGATTATCTGCTTTGAATTGGATTATATGAGTCTCCACTGCCATATAATCCAATTAAAAACAGATAAATTGGATGTTATATGGCAATGTAGATGGGGGCTCAGCCACACACGTGAACAATTTTGGATTTTGAAGGTTTTTTTGTTTTTGTTTTTTGAATTCTGGATAAGGATGGCCAGCATGTATGCTGATATGGTATAAGGGTTGTATGCTGTTCCAGATGTTTTTGGACTCCATCAGCCCTAGTTAGAACAGCCATCAGTGAAGAATGCTAGGAACTGCTATCCAACAAGGCAGGAAGGACACATGATTCTCTCTCCAGTCCTATATGAATATTCTTTAATGGAAAACATTTTTGCCCCTGTGCTGTTAAATACACAAGCTCTTTTTTCTTCTAATTTTCTTTTTAAAATGTTCTCTCTCAACTTCAGTACTTGCACTTGTGGGGTCATTGCCTGTACTTAACAGGGAATGAGTGCCTGCCCCATCTGTCCCTCCCCATGCCCACCCCTTTTCTCCCACACACAGCCTTGTGCACTGAAGTCATCGCAAAGCAGAGCTTCCCACCGCCTGACACCGGCAAACACATTGCAGTGTTTCAGAGAACAGGCTGATTGAAAAAGAATGTTTGAATTCAGCAAAGGGAGTGGGGAAAATACCAAGCTTTTTTCTCCCTGCTCTCCCTTTTTCCCTGTTGGAAATCTTAATTGTCTTTGAATGGTTTCACAAAGCACAAAGTTGTTGTGGAGCATATGCAGCAAAGGTTTTTGGAGCGATTGATTTTATCTCTCAACTGATCTTTAGCGGAGCTCTCAGAATAATTGCTACTACAGTCATTCATCCACATTTGCAGTTTTGATTTACAGATTTGATTATCCACATATTTGATTAAAATGTTATCTCTAGGGAATGTTAGACCCTTCTGTGTGACTGACTCCATGGTCAACTTCCTTCAGTCATAATGGAGGACCTAGAGTCTAGACATTTCCAGAGAAACCATCTCTCTAGAAATCTGTAAGTCCTCCAATGCATAGATATTGACATTGAGTTTGCTGGAAAACCTAGAAATCCCTAAAGAAGGGTTCTCACAATTTTTTAAAAAAACAGCAATTTCTTTATTTGCTGTTTTTCACTTCCAGGAAAGTGAAAAACAGAAAATAAAGAAACTGCTGAGTCCTGTGTCCCTAAAAATTGCTGAGTCCTGTGCCCCTAGCCTCAGCAAAAAAAGGAAAACAATGAAAGATGGAACAGAGAAAAAGAGAATTGCAATGAGAAGGATCCATTATCCTTGTTTTAAAAACTACTAATGACTCTGACTAAAACTAAAAGGCTAGGCCACACTCTCAAATTGTTTCAGCTGGAACAGTCCCAAAAGATCTTCTCTTGATCCACTTATCAAATTATTTTTCAAATGTCCCTTTTTCCCTTTCCTATTTCTTCTGGCTTCTCTGCTTACTTCAGTGGCTAGGAGCCCCCAGTGGCACAGTGGGTTAAACCCCTGTGCCGGCAGGACTGAAGACCGACAGGTCGCAGGTTCGAATCCGGGGAGAGGTGGATGAGCTCCCTCTATCAGCTCCAGCTCTTCATGCAGGGACATGAGAGAAGCCTCCCACAAGGATGATAAAAACATCAAATCATCCAGGCGTCCCCTGGGCAACGTCCTTGCAGACTGCCAATTCTCTCACACCAGAAGCGACTTGCTCCTGACACGACAAAAAGAAAAACCTTTAATGGCTGGAAACCGAGTTCAAAGTGCAATACACTCAGTTATTAGCAGCCATGCAGTCATGCCGGCCACATGACCTTGGAGGTGTCTACAGACAATGCTAGCTCTTTGACTTGGATACCACTCTGGCGGGAAGGTAATGGCGCTACATACAGTCATGCTAGTTGCCACATGACCTTGGAGGTGTCTATGCACAACGCTGGTTCTTTGACTTAGAAACGGAGATGAGCACTAATCCCCTGAGTCGGACATGACTGGACTTAATGTCAGGGGAAAACCTTTACCTTTACTATCAGCAGAGGAGAAAGGAGAAGAAGGGTGCAATCAATTTTGCCCATCCCAGTAGACTTAGGCGAAAGCAAGCTGCTGTGTTTTCTCTAGCTTGTATGGTCTTCTTCCTTAGTAACTTTTATCAACATCATCATACTTTGAGTTTGTTTGGGGGTATATCTAGGATGGCTACAGTTGTCTCCTCCTTCTATCAACGCTTACTCATGCTGAATGAAACTTGCTTCTGAGAAGGCATGCCATGGATTGCACTGAATGCACAACTCAATTCACAGAGCATACAACACCATGGAAAAATCACAACGAGACAGCTTCTTTTCATAATAGAGATGTGGCAGAACCATTTCATTGGATGAGATCTACATTTCTGCAGTCTGGAATACTTCAGAAACCAGACAGGTGTGGTGCAAGCAGTAACTCCAAAAAACATTTTATCCTGTCCTGAAAAAATAATGAATAACGTGCAAATCCAATAAACACAAAAATTACACTATGTAACACGATTTTTGTTCCTGGCTTATAAACGTCATTTCTTAATTAGCTCTATTCTTTTTTTTAAAAAAAAACCATGGGAAAGGGTTATTAAACTGCAAAAACTTTGTTTTTCTGGGACATCCTGCAGCACATTTTGCTGAAGTTTTTCAATGAACATTTCACTGAGTCTCAACCAATTCTACACATTTTGTGACAGCCACAAAAATGAAATTTCTGGCAAATAACACTACTTTCAAAGTTTTGGGGGTTTTTGTGTGTGTATGTCAGGAGCAAATTGAGAAACTGCAAGTCACTTCTGGTGTAAGAGAATTGGCCATCTGCAAGGATGTTGCTCAGGGGATGCCCGGATGTTTTGATATTTTATCATCCTGGAAGGCTTCTCTCATGTCCCTGCATGGGGAGCTGGAGCTGACAGAGGGAGCTCAGCTGTGTTCTCCCCATATTCGAACCTCAGACCTATTGGTCTCCAGTCCTGCCTGTACACGGGTTTAACCCATTGCGCCACCGGGGGCTCCTACTTTATTATTACTTTCAAAGTATGTACCACACAAACAGGAAAAAACACTTTCACACCAGGAACAGAATTTTTTCCCCAAATGTTGTTGTTACATAGTGTTATTGGTTACATTACAGGTTTGTAACACTGTTCCATAAACCAGACAAGGATTGTAAATAGTTTTTCTGTGGTAAACCACCATATAATCACTGTGACTCATTTACTATAATGTCACTAATTCTCCAAGCAGGTCACACAATCTTTCCACATATAGTTTACACGTGGCATGGAATTATTATCTTTCTGATTCAATAATATTTCCCCATTTCCAGACTCTGATCTCTTTAGTGGCAGCAAGTAATAGCCAGAGGTATAATCAGAGCTATGATAACAATTGCAGTTTTATCTTTGTGAGCATCTGTGCAGGTGAGAGGAGGACAACTCATTCAGTCCCGGTCCAGACTGGTGTGGCACGAGGAGCAGTGGGATCTGATTCTGTTGCAGGTGGCAGGAGCGGCTAAACTCACTCTTGGCATTCTTCTCACTTCCAAACACATTAACGCAAGGTCAGGGGCAGCAACCCCCCTCCCACAGACACACACACCCTTTTTGTAATAGCAAAATGCCTTTCACAAGCTCTGTATACTAACCTATTTTGGTTACGATTTGCAACACCTCTCATTCCCATCTGGGAGGCAAGCAAGGTGAGTGGAATATGTACTAAGGTTGTCCTTTCAGGTAAACCTTAATCCGTTTTGTGTCCTGGAGACAGGAGAGGTGCTGAGCTGCAGGCAGGTGTGAGCTTTAAGGAGGCTTCTTACCTGTTTCTACTCTAGAGGAGAGGTGCTTGGCTGCAGGCACACACACAAGTTTTCTGGGCCTACATGCCACACATGCACTCTCCAAGGCAAGGAGGCAAGTTTTTCTGACTTTCGGGGGGGGGGGGGGATCGGCCAGGCAGGCACACACACTTCCTGCACACCACACACGTACTCTCCAAAGCAAGGTGGCAAGTTCTTCTGACTTTCTTACAGAGGGGAGAGGAGGCGCTCAGCCAGGCAGGCCCACACACTTCCTGCATGCCATACACACACTCTCCAAAGCAAGGAGGCAAGCACCATGTGCTCACGAAAAGCAGGCGAGGAGCCGGGATTTGGCTCCTGCTTGCTTTCATGTCCAGCTAATTTTCGTACTGGGGGCTCCCTCCTCTTTACAAGCTCTCAAAGGTGCCGTAGGTGCTGCAGGAAACTGTATCCACGCATAGCCCTAATATGAACAAAATATGCATTGCACATTCTGTGAATTACAAAAGTATGAATAACATTACTTGTAAATATACAAGATTCCTTGACCCCGGACATTTTCTTGTCTGACAAGAAAATGACAAATGGCTCCTCTCAGGTCCACCTACAACAGCAGACCAAGCTTGTAGCTGATTTTTTTTTATCTCAGCACCAGCAATGGACCAGCATCCTTCAGATTATGTGAAGACAATATGTTAGAACTGATCTATGATTCCATGTTAATTACTATGGCTGCATTTTATGAAATCTTGGAATGGATAATTTGGTGAAGCTTGAGAGCAGGGCTTCTCAACTATTTACCCAAATATTTATTGGGTAAATATTTATTTACCCAATAAATATTTACGCAAAATACGTATACAAATCAATCATTTACTGATAGCAAACCAGCATTTGTAAAGCTTGCTAAACAGGCTGACATTTCTTCTTATGGAGTACAGCTGAAGCATCTTCTGCAGAGTCCACTGATAACACTGCACAACAGGTTTATGTAACAGCTACTAGATGACTTTCAGAATTTTTTTTACTGTTTCCAATTTTTGAGACCCTAACATTGAGCTGAGGGGACCCCATTTGGGGTTGGGACCTACAGTTTAAGAAACAGTGCTTTAGAGGAATGGTTTTCCACCTTTCATTTTGAGACAGTCCAGGAGAAATCTGTGGTGAACCTACGGCTACTTCCTGGGTTTTGAAGGGTGATAAGACAGGTGAAAGGTGAGAACAATCTTTTTGTGGCCATTTCAACTGCTCACTGGAGGGAAGGATATTAGAGGCAAAGATGAAGTACTTTGGCCACATACTGAGAAAAGACAAGAAAGCTTGGAGAAGATAATGATGCTGGGAAAAATGGAAAGAAAAAGGAAGAGGGGCCGACCAAGGACAAGATGGATGGATAGTATCCTTGAAGTGACTGGCTTGATCTTGAAGGAGCTGGCGATGGCAATGGTGGACAGGGAGCTCTGGCATGGGCTGGTCCATGAGGTCATGAAGAGTTGGAAGTGACTGACTGAATGAATAAACAACAACAACAACACCAAATCAAACAACTGCTGTCCAGTATAGACCAAAAGATCTCCTTATGGCCTTCAATATCATATGGTCAACAGGATACCTCCCTGAGCTCAGAACAAAATCTTTCTGCCTTAGTGAGCTACTAAAATGGACCAAGTTAATAATTAATCATTTATCATTTAAGTTCTATCCAACCTAATTTTTGTCTATGGTGACCAAAGAAAGAGAAAATTTAAAAACGTAAGCTGCTTGTTTCCCTTCCTTTTATGGGTATTCTTGTTGGACTTTGCCACCTAGTGGCAAGAAGATAGATTCCCTTTCTGAGAAAATGTTTCTTGCTCCACTGCCTTAAAACACACCTTTTCATCTGCAGAATTTTTCATCTGGCACAGGTGGTGTGTACAGGGGGTGAGGACATTGATTTGCCCCTATATGATTGATCCAATCTTGTGAAATTTTCTCACAATCCCAACATTTTCAGTACTACAGGGAGTAAAGTGGTCAAAAAAGTTCACATTTCCAACTTGTATTTGCAGTGTTCACATTTCCCTGTTAACTCTGCTTTTCTATTTTCTCATGTCTAAATTGTATTTTTAAGTCATTGCAGTCCTAAAAAAATTGAGGACTGAATTACAATGTTGTGGGGCCGGCAGGACTCTTATTTTAGAGGGGTTTTCTCCATTTTGGAGGAAAGATAGAGTAAAAAAAAGAAAAAAGAAAAAAGAAAAGAAAGAAATAATCATCCCTATTGCTAATAATAATAATAATAATAATAATAATAATAATAATAATAATAATAATAACTTTAATTATATACATCTCTATCTCCCCTAGGGGACTCAGGGTGGTTTCCATGTAATAAAACACCAAAACAAACAGAGCGTAGAATCATAGAATCATAGAGTTGGAAGAGACCTCATGGGCCATCCAGTCCAACCCCCTGCCAAGAAGCAGGAATATTGCATTCAAAGCACCCCCAACAGATGGCCATCCAGCCTCTGTTTAAAAGCTTCCAAAGAAGGAGCCTCCATCACACTTCGGGGCAGAGAGTTCCACTGCTGAACGGCTCTCACAGTCAGGAAGTTCTTCCTAATATTCAGATGGAATCTCCTTTCTTGTAGTTTGAAGCCATTGTTCCACATCCTAGTCTCCAGAGCAGCAGAAAACAAGTTTGCTCCCTCCTCCCTGTGACTTCCTCTCACATATTTATACATGGCTATCATGTCTCCTCTCAGCCTTCTCTTCTTCAGGCTAAACATGCCCAGCTCTTTAAGCCGCTCCTCATAGGGCTTGTTCTCCAGACCGCTGATCATTTTAGTCGCCCTCCTCTGGACACTTTCCAGCTTGTCAATATTTCTCTTCAATTGTGGCACCCAAAATTGGACACAATATTCCAGGTGTGGTCTGACCAAGGCAGAATAGAGGGGTAGCATTACTTCCCTGGACCTAGACACTATACTCCTATCGATGCAGGCCAAAATCCCATTGGGTTTTTTTGCCGCCACATCACATTGTTGGCTCATGTTTGACTTGTTGTCAAACAAGGACCCCAAGATCTTTTTCACACGTACTGCAAGCAAAACATAAGCATAAATTATCAAAAGAGCACATATACATTAAAAACCAATCTTACCCTATTCTTTAATACAGAATTACTGTTCTTGCCATTATACTCCTATTCTGGTACAGATCTCCCTGCTATTAATTTGGCAGCCCTTCTGTAGCTGTAGCTGCTCTCAGAAGTCTGGAAGTGACTATAGTAAGATTCTAGTCCATGCAAGGACTGTCTCCCTAACCTTTAAGATGCGCTACATTTATCTGAGACACAGAGACCCCTTTTCCTACATCAGAAGGCAAGCTGTGTGACGTGCATGTGGCTGGCTAGTTTGCTTTATATTCACCTTTCTTTAAACTTTAGAAAACAGAAGTACTAAGAAGACATGAAGCAGAGTGACATTTTCACTTATTGTCATTTATTGCGAACCTAATACATTAAAGGCACCAGATCCCTTCTGATTGTAGAACTAAGGCCCCTTTTACATTGCCATATAGAATCCTGATTATCTGCTTTGAACTGGATTATATTGTAGTGTAAACTCATACGATCCAGTTCAAAGCAGATAATCCACACCATCTGCTTTGATAATTTGGATTATATGGCAGTGTCAAAGGGGCCTAAGAAACTTTATGAAATTCCTGGGGCCAGAACCAGCCAACAGGCAATTTGAAAGCACAGACATGCATAACAATCTGTTATAGAGGTCAGAAAGCTGTGTGAGTGCTACTAAATTCCAGTTCATAGAGTTGTGGTCATTGTTCCAAGTATTCAAGGGTTAAATAGACTTTATAGGGATGCCGAGCTCTAGATATACTTAAATAAATAGATTTGTCTACCTGAAAGAAATGTTTGACCAAAATCCTGCTGGTTCACTTTGACAACATAAAAAGAGGAATTTCTGAGGGAAAAGGCCATAGGCGAGGAAAGTGAGGCAATGAAAAAATATTTTATGTGTGCAGGCCTACATTCCTGCATGTATGGCATTGGTGTGTTATCTATCAATCCACCAGAACTTCCAAAGGAGATATTCAACACGTAATTTAAAACATTAAATGAAATAAGATAAGATGTGTATTATTAATTCTTTATTGATAAATAAATTATTTATTTATTTATACACTACTTTGCCTCTCTCGCAGGAGACTCAAAGCAGCTTAACATAAAAACATCAGCATACAATTCAAAATATACACATATACAAATATTAAAACAGCATTAAACATCATTAGTATTAAAAACCATTCATATTCAATCTATAAAAAACATGTAAAAACAAACTGAAAGTACTCCTTAAAATGATTCTAGACAAGACAGTTAAAACAGAGAGAGAAATCACTGTACACCATGCTGAACAGCACTGTCTTGCCTGCCTGCTAGAAGAACCACAGAAACAGAGGTGGCTGAACTTCCTTGAGCAGGAATTCTGCTACTGAAAAGTTCACCCAAACAGGCTGCTCAAAGCCAGTAGATTTTGTCTGGTGTTCCATGTCATTGCTTCACAACGCTGGAAAATCTAACATACTGTGACAACAAGAATTCAGTCTTTAGGGCACTGGCAGAGTCTGAGCTACACTGATGCACTGACACAGAATGTCTGCTAAAGGCATGCACTTTCCGCTTTGATTTTCAGTGAAAGAAACTGAAGAAATGAGGTCCTTGCTCAGATCAACATGATGGTTAGTTCAATTGATGGCTTGAGCTATCAACATATGTGGAAGATGGATGCCATCAGGACCGTATAAACCAGTGGGTCTCAAATTTTGGTCTTTCCAAAAGTCCATGCCTGCATGGCCAATGGTAAAGGAATGTAGGAGATAATGTGCAAAACATCTGGGGCCTCAA